GGGGGGGGGGGGGGTGGGGGGGGGGGGGGGGGGGGGGGGGGGGGGGGTTCTGTAGTGAGATTGCTTACGGCAAAGATAATCTATGTCAATTTTACTACTGATAATATCCATGCAACCTCAAATGCCTGCCTATCTCTCCCTTTTTTTTATACACTCACACACACTGAAGTAAAAAATTATTAAAATTAAAAATATACTTTTTTTTGGGTGGCATTGTTGCAATATTACACGTTCTTGATTGCCTCAATTTCTCTGTAATTATTTGGAGTCAAGCACTAGACTCTCCTTTTAGCTCTTCTTTGCTTTCCACCAACTCCTGAGGGAACTATCTATATCTTTTGCTGCTTGATGCTAGCTCTGTCAGTTGTTTGTTGGTCCTGAGCAGAGTACAATGGGTTTATTGGAGCTTACCATGAAAACAGTCGCCTGCTGTGACTGGAAATTAGGTTAAATAGAGCATCGAGAGTGAACCAAAATGGTAAAATGCCCAAAAGCGGGAACCCGCATTGCTATCATTCAAGCTATGTACCAGTCAGGAACGGTTGCCTGCTACTAGCTGTTGAAATTTTTTTCAGGGAAAAAGAAAAAAGGTACCAAGTCGATTGTGTAGCACATACACACACAGATTGAGGATTTTAGTTTCAAACTGGTTTAGTCCCTTGGATTCGGTCTACTGATTAACACCTTAAGTCGCAGTACTCACCGCACTAGAACTCAGCCCAGCACAATGAACATGTACACACACACATACACAATGGAGGACGACACAGCAAACACACAAACAAAGCCCCAGCATGTGTTCGGTACATCAATGAAATAGAATCCCGTTAGTATCAAACTGAACCCAGCATGTGTCAACATACAGGGGCAGGTCTTTAATGGCTATAGTAATGGTAGTCCACTGGCTGGTCCCGTCCCACAGGAAATGTCTCTAAATTTAGCTCGACTCGCTATACTGGCTCCTTCTGATCTCTGCTGTGTGTAAAGGTAATCACATAAAGATAACTCAAGGGGTAATCTTTATTAACCCCATGCTGCCAAATTCATTTCAGTGCTGTGAAGTCGTGAAAGGAGGGGAGTGGGGTAAAATGAGGGATGGGGGCAAGAATTAAGCCCCAGCCCCTATTTTTCTGTCATGGGAAACCTTGATAGCAGAGATTGGCAGGGGAAGTAATTAATTTCCGTGGCATTTAACTCCCTGTGCAGAAAGCCCTGACCTTCAAAGGTTGGGTGGGGTGTGTGAGGAGTTTATAATATTGTTACACCATGTGCTGGTCCTGACTTTCCACACTCCTCGCCAGTTTAGTACACTGCCTGATTTGTGCATACACTGAGATCAGACGGCACTAACGCCTTTATGTCAGTGCACATTGGGTGGTACGCTGGATAACTGGAGTCAGTTATCGTGCTGTGAAGCCCACTGGTGAAGATGTGTGGAGCCAGGGGTGCTGAAGCTCTATTTGTGATGATTGGATCCTAATCCGTTCAAATTATGGCACAGCTGGCGGAACTAATTTCATGTGGCTTACAATGCATTGTCACAATTGATGGAATTTGTCTTCTAAATTTACAGTATATGGTTTTCCAATTTGAAAAAGGAGAGATCCCATTTACCACATGTTACTAATTTATATAAGAAATGGAGACATGTGACAATAGGTGGCGTGCTGTTTTTCAGAGCCACATTAAACATCTGTTTGTTAAGTGCATATGAGACTGAAATGTTACAATCACTTCAGTTTTCAGTCAAAAGAAATGACTGCCTAATGTTCATTGGCTCATTGCTTCCACATAATGACATCCTTTCAGCTGCCACTATTTTATAACGCTAGTCTTTAAAGTGTAGTGATGATAATTCAGTCAGCCAGGAAAAGCTTACCTATTGATACGGTGCTGTTTTTAGCTTCAATCGGATGTTTCCCTCTACTCCGGTGCTTCTATTCTGTTTGGTAGTACATTGACAACCTCCACACAAACCATTTAGCGGAGGCAGGTCTTTAAAGTGTGGCAAAATAACTCCTGTTAAAAGGGTTATCTTGAATTGGGTTAAAGACTATTGATTTTCAAACGCAGACCTGTGTTAAGAACATGGGGGTGTGGATTTTGTAAGGCATTTATCAAGCAGTAATAAAGATAGTATCGAGTTGCATCATGGTAACTGTGGGATTTTTGGAGCTTGGCCTATACCACAGAGTAAAAAGCCTGGATGTCTTGGCCTGTGCTGCATTGATGTCGACCATCCTTCATTTATCATTTTTAAAAAACATGGTGGTACGTCTTTCTTCGTTATTCTATCCCCTTTTTTCTACCTGCACTGACGAAGCTGCAAAAGATTCTTTATTTTTGTAGCACCCCTTGCATACCAATATGTTGGGGGTTTTGAGCATTAAAACAACCCAGCCTTTGATGTTTGGTATTGTTGAAAATCAAACAGTTACCAAACAGATACCTGTCTGCTTTCTGGAAGACTGCTGCCGCTTCATTAATCACTGTGTAAGCTGATGACCAAACAAAGCATTCATTCATATTCAACATCATATTCCCTGGTAAGTAGATCTAAATATCCAAAAGGGGGTTGCAACCGTTTATATATGAAATTCAGTATATTCAGTAACTCTGGGCCTTGGGTTTGGAATGGCTTGCTAACAATCAGAGATAAAAAAAAAATGTTGGCTCTGAAACTCATTTGCTGCATCTACTGTCTGCTATATTATACAAAAGTAGCAGGAGCAGTATTATGACAGCAGGAGTACCCATGTGGACAATCCGTTGGAAGTGAAGCCCAACATGTCAGAAGTAATGTTCCTGGGAATGGCAGCCCTATTCTCTACCATCCAAGAGGAAAGCCATTCGTGTTTCAGTTAGATACACATGGATGGACAGAGGTAAGTGAGGATAGATGATTTTGTGTGTGTACGTCTGGCAGGTGGGGGTTGGGTAGGGACTGTATGTGCGTGTGTTGTAAAGCCAACCTTATTCTGATACTACTGCTATTACTGCACACAAGCTCTCCAACCCCCCATCCCACCCCTGACACACACCGGTGACCATTTCATCCAGATGACGCTATAAGGTAAGGCCACACCTGGCCGCAGAGGAATCCTAATGACCCACAATGCAGTTCGCTGAACCAGGAAGTGCCCATTAAACCAGGGAGGACCATTGACAGTAGCAAAGGCCACCCATCACTGTCACCTAGCATGGCCTCAAGGTCCACTCTCTGAGTGGCACGATTCATCTGTTACAATGGAGACACTACAGACTGTATGCTAAAGTAAGATGTAAGAAAAGGCTTAACGTTACCTGCTAAACATCAGCCTGTTACAATATCATCGTAAGCATGTTAGCATGACGACATTAGCGCAAAGAATCGCTAGCATGACTAAAAGGTTTACTAAATAATCCTGAATAGATGACTCATCTTCAAAAAAATCTATGTAATTCTGCGCAATATGAACCTGTATTTTAACACATGGTAGTGACATATACTAATAAAATAAAGGTGTATTTGTATTAGAGATACTAGTATTTTGAGTACCGTCTACGATAAACCAGACAAGATAACACTTGTGAAATACACACCATAGATGGCAGATAATTCACCTGCCACAACTGAATATATTCTAGTTGATTTATCTTGGCAAGGTTGATTGACATTCTATAACATTGCTCACCCTAACAAACAGTGAGTGCTTGCATTTTACTACATGATATTCACAATTTCTGTTCAGCTCGAAGTGGTTGTCTGAAAAGGGGACAGATATTTCTGAAGGACGGTGTATGATGAAAGGGAAATGAACAGCCTGTGACTGAAACACACTAGTGATTCAACAGAGAGGGATTTTCCTTTGGTACGATTAGATGAAGAATGGCCTTCCGTTTTAAACCCAGGGTCTTTGCTGTGCTATGCAGAACAATCTAGCGTAGATGCAGCTTTGACAAGGGACAGTCAATTTCCTTGTACTATTGTGGTAGACAATTTTTCCTGAATTGTTGTGGGACATTGTAAGCATCATACGTCAGGGCGAGCCTTGGATTATCTCCCGGGATTGTTTATTACTGACACAACAGTGGCCTCTTGTCCAACTGCATTCAATCTTGTTGCAATAGCTTGGAAATCCACAAAGTGAGAGATTGCACAAGTGTTGTGCTGCGCACACCCCATGGCTTCATACGAGTCTGATACAGCATTATCACCATTTAATTCTTCATTTGAAAAATGAATACTCTGCATGTAATTAATAAGCTACCAGTCTGATAAAGACATCTTTTTTCAGCACCCATCTAAATATAGTAAAATAAAAGCAACAGAGGAAGGATAATGAATTGTCCAAAATGGAAAGGGTTTGTACTATGGGGAACATACATGTGGTTGGTAAACTCTCATTTTGATAGTTCTGTTTTTTTAATGACTGCATTCATTGGATGGCCAACAGTAGAGAGATGACAGGAGGGGAGATTCATCCTCTGTAGACCAGGAACATTGATTCAGTAACAAAAAAAGTTATCTTGTTCTAGACCAAAGTTGTGGATAGATTGACTTGTATTGTTTCACTACAGTATGAGTACTTTAAAGTACACTCATACAGCAGCAATATACAAAGAAATCTTACCTCGTACTCATACTCTTCAGTCCTCTCCACTTCTGCTGGGATATTGGACAGGTACTCTGGACATTCATAAAAGTCATGCTCCATGGTGTGGATGGAATGACAACTAGAGAGAACGGAGAATAATAGATAGTTATGTTAAAGATCATTAATGTATGTTCCTTTATGCATATGTCTTTGTGGTTCTCATCACTAATTTGGAATAAGCCGCCAATCTATGGAATGGCTTTGGCAGTTTGAGAATGATGCCATCATACCAGTAGGTGCATGTTTTAAATGGCTTCTTTGAGAAAATTAAACCAAAAAATATTGCACAAAACAACATAGCAGACCCCTTACATTAAAGTAGTTTTCTTATTTTGCAACAAAACTTTGAAAAGCAATGTAAACATCAACCAATCACCCCATAAAAGCCATGACCTCTGCAAATTGTCACCATGATAATGGCCCCTCCACAATCATTGACCCAGGCTGGCAGATTTGTAGTTTCACAGGACAAATTGATTTCATCTACTGCCCAGCAAAGCCCTATTAATAGCCATTGAATGGACCGAATGCCAGAATGCCCGCTCTATCAGCCCATTGGCTTTTAATCGTCCAGCAAAAGCTCCCATTAAAAAAAATGAATGTAGCACACAGAAGCAATTATTGCATGCGGGTTTGGCTCCGCATAATGATATCACTGGGAAAAAGTACTTAGCTATGCTGGGGGTTTCCACACCATGATACAACTGCTTAATTACTACCATGAAATGTAAGAGAACAAGCCTCGAGGAAGCTTCAGGTACATTTGGGTTGGGAATTTGTTTTTCTTGGTTCCAGCTAACTAAATACGGGGTAATCAATTTCAACCTATCAATTTCATCTCAGTGTGTGTACCATTAACAGTCATGTACCTTTCACCAGATGGATAACTTCTAACCTTAGCCGTAAACTTCCCTGTGTGTGTTTGCCCTCACCTGTCAGACAACAGGAAGGGACAGATGTCAGGGACGGGAGGAGTAGCCGGCCGAAGCTTCGCCAGCGCCATGATGTGCTCGAAGGTGATGTCCGTTTGTGTGCAAACGTCCACCACACACCCATCCTGTGGTGCGCCGCCGTGGTTATGTGCAACAGCAGCCGTTGCTCGGGTGGGGGTTCGTCGGAGAACCTGGACAACGATGGGGTCTCGCCTGATGGCCTCCACCACTGCCTCCTCATGGTCGACCTTGGAGAAGTTGCGCCCGTTCACCTGGGGGGGTTAGGAGACCAAAATCATCAGCTTCATGTTGAATGTTATGGTAAAAAAAGATGCAAACCATAGTCTGAATTCCCTTGTCAGTGATAATAATTACTATTTAAACCATCTCTGAGAAGGAGACTCAGTAAAGAGTGAAAGGAGACCTTGTACACTTTCAAAGATCACAGTGCCTCTTTTATTTTTTTCAAACCCTCATTTATTTAAGGATGATCTGACAGACATGCATGCTCTTTTCACCATTAAACTGTTTCACATTCACACTTGGGAGCCTCACAGTACTTTTACATGTCTACACAATCAGGTGCTGAACAGCTTCCAGTAAAGCAACTCCAAGTTAAGTGCTTTTTTAAAGGGCACTTTTGCAGTAATTCTTGATGGAAAAATAAAAAAATAAATCTCCCTTGTTTTTACCTTGTCGGTGCACTTTTCCAGCAAGTTCAAACATTTTATCTGCTCCTCATGAATGTGCTTCTCGATCCTTTTGGCTTCTGCCTAATTTACACAGACTGTAGAATGTACTAGATTGCAGCGTTTGCCGAGTGGGAAAAACTCTTTAATGAGCTCATTTCATCTTGTTTTGTTTTCCACCAATTTTCTTCTTCGAATCAATCTAACGCAAATGCATTATTTACACTGCATTCCTACCATTAAGCCCATAAAACGTAGAATAAAAAGAATACTGATTGAAGCAAATGTGGGAAGGAGAAGTGGGGGAAGACAATGATCCATTGGGAACATCAGTTTTAGCAAGCAGCGCCTACTTAATTTGCAAGATCAGGAAAGGTTGTGCCACAAGGGAATCAGTGCAGAAGAGATGTCATACTGACAGCTGTCAATGTGAAAACACTCCCCCACGTGTGTTAATTGTAACCCAATTAGTTTTACCTCTGTATGCCAAGGCTGTGAAGTTCAATTTCAGCCTGAAATTGATTGTTTGCATTGATTTTGGATGTCTGAGTGTGTCAGAATTTGTCAAGGGCTTAAAATGTTGAAGCATATGCCTAATGTCAGCATCATTATTGGGAGAACAAATTAGAAATATGAAGAGCTACATTCTGAAATGTCTTATAATGTATATTCTAGCCTGTCGGAAAGGCTTAGTAGGGGCACGTTGATGGCATTATATGGTTTTCTTCTTGGGATGTCGCATGGGGTATGTAAACAAATTTACTAAATGGTCTAATGGCTTTAGGAACCCATCAGTCCACATCCACCACCATCTGCAGCTATGATGTCAATTAACTTATGGCTGCATCCAACCTGTGGCCTGATTGTGTTTTTGCCACATAAAAGTTCTCCTCCACACACAGAATTTTATCGTCCCATTTGAACCTATGACCACCTCGGAAAAAGTGCAAAGAAAGTTCCACAACAATGTTGACTTGTAATGAGATCCAGATGGACACATTCATCTCCAATCAGAGAGAATGCTCTGGAAAGCAGGAAGTGATTGTGCGGGTACACCTGCCCGTGTATTTACCTGCTGTTGTTCCTCCATTCAATCTGCCTGTTGATGAGCTAACTGGGGGCTGATTAATAGCCAGCAGATGTGACAACGACCGGGGATAATGGCTCAAGCGTGCAGGTTGGTTAATGTCTACGTGTTTGTGTGCAACGCGCATTTTGTACATAATATACACATAATTTACAAAAGCATTAAGGATAATTAAACCACAAATGAGGAGATAAAGAGGAGCAGACGAGTTAGAGAAGGGTTTTAAAGCTTTGAGAACAATTGAGATGTGGATTGGGCGAAGTGGTTCACAATCAAAATCATTCACATTTTTCTTTCTTTATGTCCACGTTTAGTATGCTATAAATCATAATGTAATTACTTCATATTTCTTAGTTGTCATTCATTCTATTTTCCCTTTTGATCACACATATTCTGCAATAAACCTTCAGTGACATTGATCCAATATCAAATATTTTCCGTTAGTTTCATCGAAATATTCTCATCTTCTGTTCTGTGTATAATCTTTTTCTTTGCGGTTTTCTTTGAATATTATTGTTTACCCTTGCAATTACTTCCCCAAAGGGATTCTATTTTGATTTAGTCATAGTATGGGATTTTCAACTCCATCCATGTGTGTGTGTGAGTGGGTTAGATGCACGGAAGCTATACGTGTTAGTACAATATCCGTACGGACACATGTAGGTGTGCGGATTCCATCTATATCAAACAGTAATTCCATTTTGATTACAAGTACCCTTTCTCATTTCTCCACTGTGGTCCTGTGACCACGCTGACAGAGAGACAATATCAACTCAATGCATCATCTGATATAAACCATGAAAGCTCCACGAGAACACTAAAAATAGTAGAGATCACGGTAGTCTGCAGGGACGGCTGTAATGAACCAACAATCTAGCGCAGCCTTCATATCCCTCTCAAGTTAAAGGTTACCATTGCCAATAAAAATGTTTCCCAGTAGCCCTAAACCAAAGCTTCTCTTCTCTCCAACCACTCTTCCTTTAAAAAGGTCAAAGGTTCAAAGTGGTGTGCCACAGTTTGGGATAGCAGAATATACCATAGCTTATGTGTGTGTATGTTCACTGAATGTAGTGGGTCATCATCGATCTACAACCTTTACTGAAAATGTCATTTGCTTGTTATCGGCCCACTTTGTACTCTGTTTGTTATTACTCCTTGAGACACTTATTGTGTGGTCTTTGTCTTTTTATCCACACTGGTCCGAAAAGGCAGCGACTATAGAAACAGTAAAGTTTGGATCCAGTAAACCGTCAGACTGTCTGATGGTTTTAAGGGTTGAATCACGCTAGATTAGATATTATCTATTTTATGTATTACTACAAATATTCATACAAATTAAAAACCATTTGGCTGCTGAATCTCCAAGAAACGATTTAGCTAAAGTGGGGAAAAGAAGTCCATACAGGGGAGAAACCCTTTAGTTGCTCAGTTTGTGATAAATACTTTATTGTAAAGCAGATACAAAGAGACAAATGAGAAGTCTAATGGGAGTGAGACCACTTAGCTGCTTGGTTTGTGGTAAAACATTTGTTCAGAACAGTTAAATGAGAAGCTCATTCATACAGAAACCGTACTTTTAGTCCTTGCATTTAACTTTTTATACCGTTTTATCATGTACCCACTTTTGTTGAAATTAACTGACTTGGATTCTTAAGATTGCCTGTGTCAGATGTTGACATAATTTGCCCTTTCTCAAGTTATAGCTAAATGCTTCTAAGTGTATTCAAATATTTTGGACTAATCTCTGTACATTGCACATGTTCTATTTATACTTTCATACGATCAACTTTTGCACATCCCCTGGACAGCATTTTGCACAAAGATACTACTTTCATTAACAGATATATTGTAACAGACATTTTTTATTGATAGTATTGTTTCTTACTTTTATTGATTTTCATGTTTGTTGTCCTATGCAGGGCTTGCTTTCATTTTTATGTTCTCTTATAGTATGCTTATGCTTTGTATGCACCAAACAATAAATCAAATTCCTTGTAGGCTATGTGAAAACCTACTTTGCAATAAACGAGATTCTGATTAAAGGGTGCAGGGGAAACGCAGTATCTACAAAAGAAAATAAATTAATCTATCTCAGCAGCTTAGCTGGCACTTACTGCTTACATTACCCTGCAAACCTAAACTACTGTTTAGACGGATTAGTGTATTTTTCTTTATCTGGATCATGTTTTGGATTTAGCTACCTTGTAATTAATGCAGTATAACAAACTGAAATACTAACATGTTGGATTCATCTAAAATGACTTACAAGAAATAGGTTGGCAAAAGTAAGTACACTCACTTCTAGCTAAAGCTAGCTGTGGCTAACTCACCAAGCCAGCTTTAACGTCATCTGGTGTTCTTTGCTTTAGCCGTTTTGTCTTTGGAGCCAGAGTTTTTTTGATTTGTAGTTACTGCAAATTTGTACGACATGCTTATTGTCCAGACAACCTGAACTCAGACCACTGTCTCCTCTCTCCCTTTGACCTGTGAAAAGTCCTGTGCCATCTTTGATATTCACTTCTTGAAATGGTTCTACAAAGACTTTAAGGTCACACATATAGCAAACGGCGAGTCTCAGCTCCCAGCCAATAATGTCACATTTTGCTGCCTGTGATGCACCAATTACACACGTCATTGACTATACGGGTTTACTAGCGGACCGTGGTGTGGAAATGGTTGGTACATGTGTTGAGACGGGGTTGAAAGTAGCACAGTGAAAGCCAATCAGGGCCGGGCCTGCAGGCTTTCAATTTGCTCAAGAGAGGACTCATGTCAACCTTTAAATGTGTCACACAGTTGGATCAGTGGGCCACTAAGATGGCTAAATGTTTCCACTTTTGAATACAAACCGGAGCAATAAGGAAATCCCAGAGATAAGAGTTTGTGTGTGTGTGTTTGCAGTGCAGAGATAAGAGCGTGATGGAAACCACTCAACCTCACAGCTAAATCTGACAGATACGGTATCATTGTGAGCAAATGGAGGCAGACACACACAAATGTGCACACAGTTTAAACATGACATCAGCTCCCCACAGACTTAAAACAGCTCTACAATGCGGCTGTTTGCATTAGCCATGTTTGACTGAATAATGCCAGTATCTCAGACTGAATAGGCTGACAAAGGCCCACTAAACAATAAGCTGCCGAGAGACCCCCTGCCTATTCAACACCGACCTCCCCTGCCTCCGAGGAAACACAGAGCTCTAGCAGCAAGCTTTCTTCCATAAATCCCATATCGTGGTTTTTGTGAACTTCAGCTCAATACAAGTGAGATCGTTTACATTGAAATTGACATATTGTGATGAGTGAGGAAGCGCAGGTGGTGTGCTCCAATAATCTGTCAAATCTCATTTATTTTACTCCTTTAGCTGCATTGAGATGGTTCAGGAGGTCGCTCTCATGTGGCGAGGGATCACTGTCATAAATGTCTCATTTCAATGATAAAAGTCTCTGACATGCAATATCACCTATGTGCAGCGAAGGCAAAGAAGATGAT